CCCAGCTGAGACACCTGGATGCCCAGGAGGGAAGGGGAAGGGGCTATTGGTACTGAGCATGAGAGGGGACAAGCGCAGATGGAAGTTATGGCTTTATAGTGGGCATGGGCTGGGGCAGATAAACGTACTTTCACCATCTCTGCAGAACAATCTGACTTACACAAAGTCACCTGTTCACCCCAAAAGTGTGAGGTTGTGGCAGGTCGAGGGAGTCGTGTGGGTCTCTCTGCGGAAAGAGCTTATCCCTCCTTCCCCACGCCCTCTGGGCATCCGAGAGAGGACGGAGACACACACACAACAGACAGGTTCTGAAAGGGAGGAGGACAGAATGAGGGTGGCACAGTTGAGTTACACACACTTGAGGTGGGCAGCGATGGCCACAGCGCAACCTGCAGGAGTAGCCAGAGGGTGACGAGCTGGGGTGCAGGCAGAGCAAGGACCCCAGGCCACCTTCTTGACAAACAAGCTAAAGACTGGAGAGCAATGCCCAAGGGGCCTCCAACCTCAGCCATCTGAATCCCAGGAGCTGGACACCCCAGACCAGGCGTGGTTATTGCTCAGATGAGTCTGGGCAGTCCGTAGGGTCAGCTGGGAGAGCCGCACATTAGCTGGCCCTGAGAATGTGCTCGCACATCACAGTGGTCTCCTACTTCTTGCCAATTTCCTGCTCCATCTAACAAATGGAGAAAGGGGTGTGACGGGACTCCGACCCTCTCTTCATGGGGCTGTGATGGCGAGACAGAGTTGGTCACCGCCTAGACGCTTAACTCTGCTCAACCTCCCAGACCCCCTGCGTGAGCACACGACATGTGGGCCACTCAGCAAGGGTCAGGACCTGTCCCCAGGAAAGGGGTGCTCTGTGCAGGGAGGTAAAGGACCCCTCCCTGCCCCACGTCCTCCCCTCGAAGCCCTGGAAAGACCTCACAGGGCCACCTAGGACTTGAATGCAAGGACCCACACAGGAGGGATGGCATGGGCTGGAGGGGGTCTGTGTTTCCTCTAGGGCTGGGCCTGGCGGGTAGGCGCACAAAGCTGTGCTGAAACTGTCCCTTCCTGCCTTTGGTTGTGTCAGGGGAGCTCAGGAGATGGGTTTAGCGGAAGGGTGGGGTTTCCCCTTTCCACGTCGCATTCCCAGGCTAAGACAGCAGGAACTGAGCAGCCCGCCACTGCCAGAATCTGACAGGCCAGGGCCCATCTGTGGAGGGGGCCAGGATGGGGACTAACTGTGCTCACCACCAATCCCCCAGCAAACCCAAACTCCCACTCATAGCTGCTGCTTCCAAGAAGCCAGGCCCTCCTCTTCTCTTCGCTTTTGAGACGGAGTTTTGCTCTTGTTGTCCCAGGTGGAGTGCAGTGCCGCCGATCTCGGCTCACTGCAAACTCGCCTCCCAGGTTCAAGCGATTGCTCCTGCCTCAGCCTCCCGAGTAGCTGGGATTACAGGCGCACACCACCGGCGCCGCGCTTAAATTTTTGTCTTCTTTTTAGTAGAGATGGAGGTTCCAAATGAGACAGAGCTGGATCTCGAACTCCTGGCCTCAGGTGATCACGCCACACTCGGTATCCAAAGTGCTGACGATTACAGGCGTGAGCACCAACAGCGCCCGCCAAGGCTCTATACATTAGGTTCATAGATGCACCAGACATATTATAAGGAACGGCATTGCACAATAGACAACTGGCAACCTTGAGGAAGATCATCAATCCCTTGAACGGAAGAAAGACACTCCTGCCTTCGGGAAGCCTGGCGCCAGCAGAGAACACATGGTCATTATATCTACACTAATACCCAGCACAAGCTCCCAGTACCCAGACAGTATACACGCCAAGGGGCGGTGCGCGGACTCGGCAAGAACGCTGAGCTGGAGACGGACCAAGACCAGTACGTACACACCAAGACAGTTGATAATCCTCTCAAGACATATTGAGATGCTACATTATATACAGAAGTTCGCTTTTACATCAGGACGCACTTTTCCACACAGGGGCTGCTGGGAGGATGATCTTCTAGTAACTTCACGAATTACCATTAGCGGACACAATAATCGAAGCGGGCAGGTCCGGGTGGGGGGTAGAAGGACCAGGCCCTAAGCCCGGGCCTCTCCTGGAGAGCGAAGGCTTGTGGAAGGGCGTCGGCCTGCGCGGGGTGGGGGAGGCGGGGGAGCTGGGGGCCTGGGGCGTCAATGCCACTCTGCGCACTTTTCCGTAGGCCCAGCCCGGCCCTCCCCAACCCCACCAACGGATTTGTCGGTTCTCCCGGAGGCAGGGGCGGTGGCCCCACGTCCCTCCTGTCCTCGCTGGCAGGTGGACCAGCCAGGGCTCGGACTGCGAGTCCTCTCGGTAGAGAAGGGTGCCCCGCTACGGCCCCCTTCGGAGGAGCTCCTCGCCAGAGAAGGCTCGAAAGCGTTGGAACGTCGGGAAGTACAAAAGGCTGGCTGGCGGTTCGGGGGTTTGGGGAAGCCGGGGCCCCGCTTCGCCCCGCTTCCTGGAGACCAGGGGAGAAGCGGCCGGGGTTTCCGTGCGACGATACCATGCAAGGCCCCGAAGTGCGTCTGGCTGCAGCTTTACCGGACAGCGCACCAAGCGCACTTGGGTTCACGCGGCGGAGCGCGGGCGGCCGAGGGGTGTGCGCCCGGAGGCAATAAAACTACACATAAGAGACCACAGAGCCAGCGCTGCGGAACGCACCCTGGGCGCACGGGCCCTCCGTGCGACTGCGGAGAAAACGCGCGGGGTCGGAACACAGGACATAACACACAGAAAGAGGGAGAAGACCAAAGAACACAAGGAGTTCAGGCACACATCACACAGGCCCTATGGCGCAGGCCTCAGTGGCAGCGGCGGCCCATGCACTGCCCGCCCCTGGAATGCCTTGGTGACTAAGAAGGGAAAGGATTGTATTTCTCTCTCCTCTGCTGCACGAATCCCCATTGAGAGAGAAGGAAGCCCCAGGGGTTTTCCTAGTCCTGTTTATTGGTGCTAATTTTGCTCGGCTGCCCACGAGGCCGCCGCCAAGGGCCCCGGCCGGGACTGGGCCGCCTGGGACCGCGGGGCCGGCGCCCTGGACGACACCGACCCGATGCCCGACCCCGCGCTCTTCCTCCGCAGCGCACGGAGGCCGCTGCGGCCCAGCGTCCGCAGCCCGCGCCAGCCGCCTCCGCAGGAGCCCCCGGACCGGGCCGGCCCGCAGCCCGCACCCAGCCCGCCCTGCCCGCCCAGCGCGCCCGGGGACCCGGAGTAGGCGCGGGGCTGGCCTGGGTGACGCGGGGCGGACGGGGAGGGCCAGCCAGGGACGCAGCTCGGGCCCCGCAGACAGGTCCAGGGGGCGGAGGACAGCCGCCCCTCCTCCAGGAAGCGGGGCGAAGCGGCCCCGGCTTCCCCCAAACCCCCGAACCGCCAGCCTTTTGTACTTCCCGACGTTTCCAAAGCTTCGAGCCTTCTCCTCGCGCGAGAGCTCCTCCGCGGGGCCGAGCGGGGCACCTTCTCTACCGAGAGGACTCGCAGTCCCGATCCTGGCCTGGTCCCACCTGCCAGCGAGACAGGAGGGACGGGGGCCACGCCCTGCCCCGGGAAAGCCGACAATCCTTGGTGGGGTGGGGAGGGCCGGGCTGGCCTACGGAAAAGTGCGCAGAGTGGCATTGACGCCCCAGGCCCCCCAGCTCCCCCCGCCTCCCCCACCCCCAGGCCGACGCCCTTCCCACCAAGCCTTCCTCTCCAGGAGAGGCCCGGGCTAGGGGCTGGTCCTTCTACCCCCACCCCGACCCTGCCGATAGGTCCTTGCAGGTGAGCACGGAACACTTTAGAAGACATGTCCTCCCAGAGCCCCTGGTGGGAAAAGTGCGCCTGATGGAAGCGTAACTTCTGGAAGGTAGCATCCATGGGCCCTGGGAGAGGATTACAGAACCGCCTGGGTGACCGGACTTGGTCTAGAGCCGTCTCCAGCTCAGCTCTTCCCGAGTCCGCCACCCCCCTGGGAACGCGGGGACTGGGAGCTGTGCTGGGGAAGGGAGATGACAGGCCTGCTGGCAGCCAGGCTTCCCGAAGGCAGGAGCTGTCTTCCCCCGCAGGAGGTAGCCCCAGGGGTTTTCCTAGTCCTGTTTATTGGTGCTAATTTTGCTCGGCTTCCTAATCAGCTGGCTGCATCCAGAGACAAGAAGAGGGCCTTGGCGGGGCGCGGTGGCTCACGCCTGTAATCGCAGCACTTTGGGATACCGAGGTGGGCGGATCACCTGAGGCCAGGAGTTCGAGACCAGCCTGGCCAACATGGTGAAACCCCATCTCTACTAAAAAAATACAAAAATTAGCCGGGCGCGGTGGTGTGCGCCTGTAATCCCAGCTACTCGGGAGGCTGAGGCAGGAGAATCGCTTGAACCTGGGAGGCGGAGTTTGCAGTGAGCCGAGATGGCGGCACTGCACTCCACCTGGGCAACAAGAGCAAAACTCCGTCTCAAAAACGAAAGAAAGAAGGAGGGCCTGGCTTCTTGGAAGCAGCAGCTACTGATGGGAGTTTGGGTTTGCTGGGGGGATGGTGGGAGCACAGGTTAGTCCCCATCCTGGCCCCCTCCACAGATGCCCCTGAGCCTGTCAGAATCTGGCAGTGGCGGGCTGCTCAGTTCCCTGCTGTCTAGCCTGGGGAATGGCGACGTGGAAAGGGGAAAGCCCCACCTCCTAACACCCCATCTCCTGAGCTCCCCTGACACCACCAAAGGCAGGAAGGACAGTTTCAGCACAGCTTCTTGCCCCTACCCCCAGCCCAGCCTAGAAGGAAACACAGACCCCTCCAGCCCATGCCATCCCTCCTGTGTGGGTCCTGCATCAAGTCCTAAGTGCCTGTGAGGTCTTCCAGGGGCTTCGAGGGGAGGACGTGGGGCAGGGAGGGTCCTTTACCTCCCTCACAGACACCCCTTTCCTGACAGGTCCTGACCCTAGCTGAGGCCACACATTCTGTGTCACGCAGGGGTCTGGGAGGTGAGCAGAGTTAAGCTCTAGGGGTGACAAGCTCTTCTCCCATCACAGCCCCATGAAGAGAGGGGAGTCCCCGATCACACCCCCTTTCCCTCCATTTGTTAGAGGGAGCAGGAAATTGGCAAGAAGTAGAGACCAGTGAGCGAGCACACTCAGGGCCAAGCAATGTGCGGCTCTCCCAGCTGACCCCACCGGGGACTGCCCAGACCACTGAGCAATAACCACGCCTGGTCTGGGGTGTCCAGCTCCTGGGATTCAGATGGCTGAGGTTGGGGCACCCTTGGGACAGTGCTCTCCAGTCTAGCTTGGGTCAAGAAGGTGGCCTGGGGTCCTTGCTCTGCCTGCCCCCACCTCTACCCTCTGCTACTCCTGCAGTTGCGCCTGTGCCATCTCTGCCCCACCTCAAGTGTGTGTAACTCACTGCACCCCTATTCTGTCCTCCTCCCTTTCAGAACCTGTCTGTGTGTGAGGGCCTCAGTCCTCTCTCGGAGGTGCCCAGAGGACCGTGGGAAGGAGGGATAAGTCTCTTTCCAGAGGAGCCCACACAGACCCTCACCTCCCACAACCACACTTTTGGGGTGAACAGGGTGACTTTGTTAAGTCAATTGTTCTGCAGAGATGGTGAAGTACTTTATCTGCCCACCCACCCACTAAAAGCCATAACTCCATCTGCCTGTCCTCCCCCAGCTCTATAGCAATAGCCCCCTTCCCCCTTCCCTCCTGGGCATCCAGGGTGTCCAGCTGGGGGCCCCCACCACACTCTGGCCCCAGGGATCTTCCAGTGGCCTACCTGCCTCTCCCGAAGTGACTCCATCAGCGCCACTCAACTCCCGTCCCTCTTCCAGCAACCACTGGAAGGTGCTTGGAGATCCCCTAGATGAAAGGTTCTGGGTGCTGGGGCAGCTGACTCACTGACTCAGCTGAGGTGCCGGAGGTGCCTGGGAAAGGAAATAAGGCAAGCTGAGGGAGCACCTGTGGCAGACACATGGTTCCAATTTCATAGAAATTCCCCTCCTCGCCCTCCTGCAAATAATGGAGACTTCCCTCCATCCACCTGCACAGGAGCTTCTGTGCAGCAGAATGAGACTGGGAGCTGGAGTCAGTGGTCTGCTCTTGGCCTCAGGGGCCCAACACTCCTCAGCTTCAGGGCCCTGGAGAGGCCCCACCCTCCCTGGGTCTGGCTTGAGAGCCCACCTGGCCAAAGGGAAGCCTCCTACCCCCATGCACTGCCCGCCCCTGGAATGCCTTGGTGACTAAGAAGGGAAAGGATTGTATTTCTCTCTCCTCTGCTGCACGAATCCCCATTGAGAGAGAGAGAGAGAGAGAGAGAGAGAGTTGAAGAGGACACTCAGGGTCCCTAGGTGGAGCTCCTGCCACACCTCACGTGTGGACAGCTCCAGGACAGACAGCTGCAGGCAGGGACCTCCCCCTGCTCTGGAAATCAGCCAGGGAGCACTGGGCAGTGCAGTTTGAGGCTCTGTACCCCTGGCCCCCACAGCCCAGCCACAGCACCCTCTAGCTTGGGGGACTAGTCCGGGGTCAAAATGGGGTAGCCCTTCCCCATATAAGCAGTAGGATGGCGTTCCCCCTGGTGGAGAGAGGAAGGAGGCCTAGAGGGTGTGGGGCAGCTTCTTCTCAGCGTGGGGAGCCAGGGGTCTCCAAGCACCTTCTCCTGGACATGCCAGCCTTGAATGGGGGGCGCGCAGGGCTTCAGACCCACCTGGCAGGAGCCCTGTGGACAGGGCAGAGGAACCCTGCTCCAAATTCTCTGTTGGCTGCGCTTTCGAATCCAATGCTTTTCAGAGTGTATTCACTCACCCACAGAAATAGAGCCCTGTGCTTTAGGGGTGACTGTCATATGCCTTATTCTTAATAAAATCTCTGAAAAACATGTGAGTCCAAAAATCTCTTACATTGGGCACTCGGCCCCACCGCACCTCGGTTCTTGCAGGTGTGGGAAGAGCATGTGGAGGAGCCGGGAGGTGGTTCAGAGTCAGCCAGTGGGTACGATGAGACCAGGAGCTGAGACTCTGGGGTACCCTCAGTAGATAAGCCTCAGATGGGCCGGGCATGGTGGTTCACGCCTGCCATCCCAGCACTTTGGGAGGCCAAGGTGGGCAGGTTGCTTGAGGTCAGGAGTTCAAGGCCAGCCTAGCCAACATAGTGAAACCCCGTCTCTACTAAAAATACAAAATTTAGCCAGGTGTGGTGGCACGTGCCTGTAATCCCAGCTACTCAGGAGGCTGAGGCAGGAGAATCCCTTGAACCTGGGAGGCGGAGGATCCAGTGAGCCGAGATCACGCCAATGTATTCCAGCCTGGGTGACAGAGTGAGACGATCCCCAAAAAAAAGCTATTCCGGCCGGGCACAGTGGCTCATGCCTGTAATCCCAGCACTCTGGGAGCCGAGGCGGGTGGATTACGAGGTCAGGAGATCAAGACCATCCTGGCTAAACCCCGTCTCTACTAAAAAATACAAAAAATTAGCCAGGCGTGGTGGCGGGCGCCTGTAGTCCCAGCTACTCGGGAGGCTGAGGCAGGAGAATGGCGTGAACCCGGGAGGCGGAGCTTGCAGTGAGCCGAGATCGCACCACTGCACTCCAGCCTGGGCAACAGAGCGAGACTCCATCTCAAAAAAAAAAAAAAAAAAAGCTGTTCTTCAGATCAAGTATAAGGCACCCATCTGAGGTGTCCTCACCCTCAGCCGAGCCCTGCCCCTCCCTCCATCCCACCCCAATCCAAAGGAACAAACAGAATCTTAGATCACAGGCTCCTGACTAGAGTGGAGAGGAGAAGACTGGAAGGGCCCAGTGCCTGGAATTGCCCCACTATCCTTTCCCAGAAGGAATCCTGGGTTCCGGCATCTTTGGCCACGCTGGTGCCCTGCCCCCCACCTGATCCACCTGCCAGACGCCCGGCATCCCAGCAGGAGCCCTATTCTTATCCTCCACTAATGAAGGTTATCCTGGGACTGCAGCTTTAGGAGCTCAGCGCAGCCAGCACCCATGAGAACTCAAGCCGGTACATTTTCAGTGCAGGTCTACGTTAGGGATGACTCAGAGAAAAAGGCAGCAGCTCTCTGTTCTAAGGACGCAGGGGAACAAAACCAAAACCAAAACCAAAAAAAATGGCTTTGCTTGCAACCCTCCTGATAACAGGACCCACCTCTTCCTTCTGGGGAACTGCTGTGCACCCATCTCAGTCCATGCTTTGGGAGGGTCCACTCCACCCGTGTGGCCCAGGCAGGGCAGGTCACACTGATCGGGCTGAAGATTACATGCAACTCCATCTGAGCCAACAAGAGTCAATCTTGGGCCTTTTGCTGGAGCCATTCATTCAGCACCCCATGTTAGGTGCTATTTAGTTCAGCAGCGAACAAAGCAGGACTATGGAGAAGGACAAACACTTGGGTGGCTAAAATGGCACCCAAGAAATCTGGCAGGTCATTTGCCACCACAAGGGGTAAAGCTGCCTGAGTATAAAGCTACCATAAGAGAAACAGAACGGCCAGGTGCGGTGGCTCATGCCTGTAATCCCAGCACTTTGGGAGGCCGAGGCGGGCGGATCAAGAGGTCCGGAGTTCAAGACCAGCCTGGCCAACATGGTAAAACCCCGTCTCTATGAAAAGCACAAAAAAAAGCCGGGCATGGTGGTGGGCACCTGTAATCCCAGTTACTCAGGAGGCTGAGGCAGGAGAATCCTTTGAACCTGGAAGATGGAGGTTGCAGTGAGCCGAGATCATGCTATTGCACAGCAGCCTGGGCGACAGGGGCAGTGATGATCATCCAAAAAAAAAAAGAGAAACGAACAAGAGGATATGGAGGACAATTCATGAAATCAAGCTCCCTGGTCCAAGCCATACCAAAGCTCACAGCTCTTACCCTTTGTACTTACTGACATAAATCCCCATCCCCCTCCCAACACTAGGTGTGGAATTTTTTTGTTTCTGTTTGTTTTGTTTTGTTTGGACAGAGTTTGGCATCTTGTTCGCCCAGAGCTGGAGGGCTGCGAATGGCACCAGCAGTCTCACCCATGGCCAAGCCTCTGCCACCCCAGGTTAAGCGAATTCTCCGGCCTAGCCTCCTGAGTAGCTGGGATACAGGCACCGTGCCTACCACCGCCCGGCTGATTTGTTTTATAGCTAGAGGAGGTTCTCGCAGCGACTGGTTGGCAGGCGGTGAACGCCCAAGCCTCCAGTGATCGGGGCCGCGCCCACCTTGCTCCGAAAGTGCTGGTTACAGCGTGATCACCACCTCTCTGGCTGTCGTGTGTTTTTAGGGACAAGGGAGCGCTGTGTCCTTCAACAGTGTTGCTTCAAGCTGTCCCTGGTGGTGCTCAAAAGGATCCGTTCCATCTCAGGCCTGTCGAGAAGCTGAGATACAGCCTAGCTAACCACACAACCACACACACAACGCACACACACTATATGGATACAGCAGATAATATAGCTATTGTTGTTTTTTTTTTTTTTGAACTGAGTGCTGGCTTGTCGCCCAGGGCGGAGTGCAGGTGGTCCGATCTCGGCTCACTGCTAAGCTCCGGCCTCCGGGTTCACAGCCATTCTCCTCCTCAGCCTTTCGCCGAGTAGGCTGGGACCCAGGCGCCCGCCACTTCGCGCCTCTGTTTTTGTTTTTTGATTTTTATTAGTAGAGACGGGGTTTCCACCGTGTAGCCAGGGATGGTCCATCTCCGACCGTCGACCGCGCGTCTCGGTGGCCCTCCAAGGGCTGGATACAGGTGAGCCACCGCGCCCGGCCAATATACATATTTTGACACAGAGTCTTGCTCTATTGCCCAGGCTGCAGTGCAGTGGCTACGTGGAAAAAAACGCGCCCAGCCAGTTTTTCCCTGCTTTTTATTTTGAACTTAGTTTCTTGCTTAAGCCTCTAAGCTCAGGTTTGGGCCCAGGATGGGCTGGGACCAGGACCTGCAGCAAGCCCAGGAAGGCTGGCCCAGGCCTCTTCTTGTTCTTAGCCTTTTATCTCCTGGGGCAGTGAGGGAACCAAAGGCCCAGCCTTGGATATACATCTGCTCAGGTACAATTTCAGAAAAGGAGAAAAGAAAGGGGACAGGGCACAGTGGCTCACGCCTGTAATCCCAACACTCTGGGGGCCGAGGCAGGTGGATCATTTGAGGCCAGGAGTTTGAGACCAGGCTTGCCAACATGGTGAAACCCCATCTCCACTAAAACTACAAAAATTAGCTTGGCGTGGTGACGCGACCCTATAATTCCAGCTACTCCGGAGGCTGAGGCAAGAGAATTGCTTGAACCTGGGAGGCAGAGGCTGCAGTGAGCCGGGGTCGTGCCACTGAACTCCAGCCTGGGAAACAGAGTGAGATTCCATCTCAAAAAAGGAAAGAAAAGGAAAGAGAAGGGAAGGGCAGGGCAGAGCACAGGCCTTAGGGTTCCCCAGACAGACCCCTGGGGATGCTTAGCTAAGCCCATCCCAGAGTCACAGTTCAGGGTGGAGATATGGAATGTCAGAACCAGATAACTGTTTTGTTCGTTTGTTTGTTTGTTTGGAGAGGGAGTTTCACTGTCACCCAGGCTGGAGTGCAGTGGCGCAATCTCAGCTCACTGCAACTTCCTCCTCCTGGGCTCCAGCGATCCTCCCACCTCAGCCTCCTGAGTAGCTGGGATTATAGGCATGCACCACTCACACCCAGCTGATTTTTTTTTTTTTTTTTTGTATTTTAGTAAAGCCGGGGTTTCACCATGTTGGCCAGGCTGGTCTCAAACCCCTGACCTCAAGTGATCCACCTGGGCCTCCCCAAGTGCTGGGATTACAGGGGTGAGCCACTGTGCCTGGCCTCAGGTAACTCTTAAAGATCATCTATGCAACCTTTTCATTTTACACATGGGGAGACTGAAGCTCAGGGCATCTTACTGGCGGTCCTTCCTTCCTCCCTCCCTCCCTTCCTCCCTCCCTCCCTTCCTT